GCGCTGCCTGGGGGCCGTACTGCAGTGGATGCAGGAAAATGGGCTGAGGCTGAACCCGGGCAATACAGAAGTTCTGAGGGTTGGTGGCCTGGGTGGCTCTCTCACATTTGGGGGGGGTGACCCTAGCTAATAAGAATGGGGTTCGCAGCCTGGGGGTACACCTGGACCCGATGCTCACCATGGAAACCCAAGTGGTGTCGGTACTTCGCACCGCCTTTTTCCACCTTTGGCGGATTGCCTGGCTGCGACCCTACCTTGACATGGGGGCACTCACTACCTTGGTACATGCGCTCGTAATCTCAAGACTAGACCACTGTAATGCACTCTACGTGGGGCTACCTTTGAGGCTGATGCGGAAACTTCAGGTGGTGCAGAATGCAGCGGCCAGACTCTTTACTGGAGTGAGAAAACACCAACACATTTCTCCTGTTCTGGCCAAACTGCACTGGCTGCCCATTCGTTTCCGCATTGGCTTCAAAGTTCTAATGCTTACCTATAAGGCCCTAAATGGCTTAGGACCTCGATACTTGGCGGAGCACCTGCTCCCACCAAGATCTACTCGGATCACCTGCATGAGTCAGGAGGTGAGGCTGAGGAGCCTGACGCCGAGGGAGGCCCAGAGGGAAAAGACACGAAGCCGGGCCTTCTCGGCGGTGGCTCCTTGCCTTTGGAACAACCTTCCTCCGGAAATTCGCGAGGCCCAAACGTTGGGTACTTTCAAATGCAAACTGAAAACATGGATGTACATCCAGGCCTTCTGCCCTGCCAACTACTGATTTCTTTGCTTTGCTATTTATTATTTATTTATTCCTGCACTATTTGTTATTGTTGTATGCTAATGTTTTTGTTTTTTTAATTGTTTTTTATATTCTGTAAGCCGCCCAGAGTGGTAGAATATACCAGATGGGCGGGATATAAATCGAACAAATAAATAAATTTTAAATGGGATACTCTCCAGCGCTCTTCTTTGTGGGTAATGGGACAGCTTCACTTTTAAATGCATGTTGTTTTGTCCTTAATATACACACCTAGTATGACATTCTTGAATATCAATTTCTGGTGTGCCTCCCCTGCCAAAAAGCTGTATGGTGACTAGTGTGGCCATGAAGCACTAATCCAAGTGTGGACAGACGTAATGAAAAGAGAGTAAGACATTGTGTTGTCCCATTTCATTGCTCCTTCTATCAAAAAGTTTAAATTATGGTTGTTGTGGGGTTTCCGGGCTGTTTGGCCATGTTATGAAAGTTGTTCTTCCTGACCAGTCTCTGTGGCCGGCATCTTCAGAGTCAGCCACAGAGACAGTCCTCTGAAGATGCCGGCCACAGAGGCTGGCAAAACGTCAGGAAGAACCACCTTCAGAACACGGCCAGAGCCCGAAAAACCCACAACAACCATCAGATCCTGGCCATGAAAGCCTTCGAGAATACAAGTTTAACTTTGTTTCCAGGACCTATCATGATAGTGTCTGGATTTCTCTTCTTTTGTGTTTTTGTCTTGCATTATAGGGAGCACCTCTGTTAAGACATGCATGGCAAACATGCCATTTCCAGATGTCCAGTATGGCTCCTGGTGCAAAAGAACAGCAGGAGAAACTAAAGTTCTCCAAGATCACCACCACTTAAACAAGCAGGCAAGCATTCTGAGACCTGAAGACATTTTGAGTTTATTATTTATAATTAGACATATTAATGATGCCAGTTAGAACAAAGGCAAATATGTCCTCCAGATCTGACTAAAGGCCTGTTGAGTGCAGCTCCGTCATTACACATGGCCAACCAGCTGCTCATGAGACATATAACATCTACACATGAACAGTGCACTCCTGTTTATGCTTGCTTGTAATGAATGGAAAATTGTGAAGGACTAGGCAAGAGAGAAAAGTGAGAGTGAGCCGTCCCCTCAAATAAAAGTGTCAGAGAAAGAGGGAGAGAAAACAAACGGAAGGATTGGTTGAGGAGGAAAATTATGGGAAGGAATTGAAGAAGTAAAAGCCGCCCCGAGTAGACGCTGTCTAGGGGGAGGGGTATAAATCGAATGAATAAATAAATAAATAAATGTAGAAGTTGTCTGGTAGAGGAAGGAAGGGGAAAGGGGAGAATCTTTTTGTCTCAAAAACCTAAGTGCTGCACTACTGGCCATCTGCTTTTGGTGTAAACACTTTGTTGGTAGCAATGATATTCCTTATATATACACTTCTCATTCAAGTTTCTGAAAGCAGCCATGTTTCCCTTCCTTGCCATGCCAGCAATTTAAGATTTTGTAAACCTCGCCTCACCTTTAACACACAATCTAGCATGCTGTTGTGATTTGCATTAATCACACCCATTTTGGAGACTTACTGTAGGTCTTCTGCAACTGTTGAACTGTTAACTCTGTCTCAGGTATCTGGTTGTGCAGCCGAGGTTGGGAGTTGTTTCCCATTATGTATCCTTGACAGGGCTGGCCTCAATGATCCATAGGGTCCCTCTTCCAGCTCTACTGTTCTTGTATGTACTGTACTGATTCCCATGAACTTACAATCCCAATAATTATCTTTTCTCCAGAGCCATCAGAAAACATTCAGACCCATCACATGTACAACTTATCTATGTATCAACTATGGTTTTTTGTCTCATTGGATGGTGACATTTCATTTTAACAGCCTAATAGGACCTCTAGAGAATTGAACAATTATCCAGGATTTTACCCTCTCAATGTTTCCCAGAAGTGGTCAATTTTCCTATATAAAAATGTTCTCAGGTATCCTGCTATCTGCTCAAGTCCTCCAATCACATTTAGCCAGGAAACCCTTTTTTCATCAATATCTATGTTGAAGTTTTATTTAGCATCTCTCACTAATACAAAATACCCAAGTACTCAGGACCATCATTATAGAAAAAGTTCTTTGATTCAACAGGAACAGTGTACAATCACTGCACATAAACATTTAAGGAATCTTTATTTTATTGCACTACAAATTCCCCAACTAGTTTCCTCAAATATTTGAGACTCATTTAAGGTCATGAAGGTTCTGACGTCTCATGAGAAGGCTTCAACTCCTGTTCCCATTTGGTTTCTTCGCACTAAAAATGAAAGAAGAAAACTTTACAACTGGATATACAAAAACTATTTTGCACATAATTTATGCTGCATCCAATACAATCTTTCTTGAAAATGTAACAAGCTTAGATTTGCTCAAGCACAGTTACAAGAACAAAATAAACACATCTCACCATATGGCTATTGAAGTAGCTAACCTTTTTGGTAAGGGGACAGCAATCACCATGCTATCTCACTGGATCCAGAAGTGACTCGAAGTCCACTTCCAGTTTCAAAACGAATGCACTTTGCTTTGGATTAGATGCATCATACTTGCAGCAGGGAACATGCAATCTGTGAGCTGTTCATTCCCATACTAGATGTTCTTCTCAGTATCTGTGGCTTTAAATTTTCACTCTACATTATCCAATTTGGTCAGAGCATCGTTTGTTTCTTAGCCCGATTCCATCAATCTCCACTTTCCATTCTTTGACCTAAAATCCATGGTTAATCCCAACTACACTAGACATATCGAAGTAATGATAAATTTGCATTCACTAAGTCAATACTTATGTCAATCCCTTTGATTTAATGAGTGTACTCTCTAGACCAGTGGTTCTCAAATTAGGGTCCCCAGATGTTCTTGGGATTGCACCACTCAGAAATCCTGGCCAGCACATCAAGGTTTCTGGGAACTGCAATCCAAGAACATATAGGGACCCGTCTGAGAACCACTGGTCTACTAGACAATAATGGGGAAAATAAGATGAAATACGAGATGGGTTGACTCACGGAAGAAAGCTATGGCCATGACTTTGCAAAACATGAGTAGGCCTGATAGGACCCTTCCGAAGGTCGCTAATTCATAGGTTCACCAGCAACCTGATGACACCCACCAGTAATTGAATTGAATTATGCCTAATATTATACTTTTGAGTTTGCATGCCTTCTTACCTCGTCTTTTCTGTAATGCAAGGAAAAGCAGCTCTCTCCAGCTGACCATCACGATCACTGTTCAGAAAACATTGATAAAACAATTTACTATCTTTTACATTTAGCATGAAGATACCCAGCTAAGCTATTCAGAAACTATCTTGCACTTTTTTCAGGGAGATTACTATTTTGTAACAGTGGCTTGGACAGCAACCTTAAGCTACTCTTCACCTAAATTAGGATTTCTTAGGAAATCTGAATAACTACATAACCCAAAGCACTCTGGTTACCTGATTTAGCAGAATCAGAGACTGACGAAGTTGTGCAAAATCCATTCCAGCTGTTGCTTGAATTTAATCAACAACCTAGACATAAAAGCAATATGGAATGTTAAGTCTTTATGTGTTACCAGACAAAATAAATTTTATGTGCACCAATTCAACACATTTATTAATTGTGTAACCTCAGAAGCCGGATCCATATTGGCAGCTTTTCATCAAGGAATCAGGTTCGGGATAGGCTCATCATTGGTTAAACCAATGCTAAATGGTTTCTGAACAGAAACATTTAATGCACGTACCTTTATCCTACAGCATCTTCATAGGTCTGAAAAGACAAAATGCAAGGTTACCATACAATTTTATTCCGTATTTTTCCTCCTCTAGTAACAGCCAAGCTTGCCTTTTATTAGGAAAAAGCACTAGAAATATTTGGTACCATGGAAAGTCAATATTCCTTCAAACCAGAAACTGGAAGTTAAGGGCTAAAATAGATGTTGATATAAGGCAAGAATGGCCATAATTGCAGTAACACTAGTCAATACTAGAAAAAGTATATACATCCAATATGCAAAATCATACTTACGGGAAGCTAAAGTTACATATAGGTCTACAAATTCTAGTTAATAGTGTTCCTACTTCAGCAAAACAAACATTGAAGATCCTGCTCCCTTTCCATAACTGCTTCAGAGAATTCTGAAGGACATCATTTTTGTATTTCAGAAACTGAAAAAAAAAAACTGCTGCACAGCTATTCTTCAACTCAATCCTTTAAATAAAAATTTGCAATGGACTGGGGAAAGATTGCTATAAAGAGCAGGGGAATTCTTTTAGCAAACAACTGCAACCTGGGAGAAATGCTTGTCCTGTTGGTTAAAGTATATGGGGGAGTGACGCAATCCACAAAACCAAACTTGATGACCACATGCAGCAGGAGTCCCACATCCATGCTAATTAAAAGAGGAAGTGCTGTGTGAGTACATTTGTACTCATTTTAGTTAATAATTCTGTTCCAATGCAAAAATATATATAGTCAGGAACATCCACTTTTGCCTATCAAATATTTTTCTATTTACTGACCATTTTCGGAATGTGAAAATAATGTTTCAAAGCTACAGAAGTGGGAAAGAAATACTGAACACCAAAATTGAATCATGGAATAATTCCTGAATTAGGAAATCAGATTCTTTGCAAAAACATCAATAGTAAAATACATGCCTTTCCCAAAGTTCTGCTTTAATGCACTTTGTTAAAACCTTCTGTTGACACTAGGTACAGGGACACCGCTGCAATACTATTTTCAAGTGCAAGGTTGTCTACATTAAAATTAATACATGGAGCCTTCCAAAAACATCAGTTAAGCCCAAGAACACAACTATATTCAAGGAGTTTCTGGGACGTACCATAGAATTCATTTGGTAATGTGGTAATACCAATACTGCTTTCAATTCCATAGTTCCTGGAACACACAAAAAAAGAGTTTACAAGCAAATGTCAGCATTTTCAAAGTTTCATATATGCATCATACAAAAAAAATATGTGATAGTACAATCCAGCTATACTTGAATGCTTCTAAATTATCGTTTCAGTTTAATAGATTGTGGTATGCCACAGTACAGATTCCTGTTAAGCCTCATTGCTTTTAATGGTATTTATTTCCAAATACAGGGAGTACAGTACCTACCAATCAATGGAATTTGTACACGATTTGGTCTCTCTTCTCTATGAACTCACCAGAGAAACCAGTAAAATTTGTGACTAAAGACTGGTAGCAGCTACTGCTTGTTATACTTGAAACGTCTGAACGATCTATGCAAACATTACTAGCTCCGTGCGCTATACAGTACTCTGCAATTAGAATGTCAAGAAGAATCCTCTCTCATCACCAATACTTTTAGCTAGTTAACATGCTCTAGTGGATTTAAAATATATGGCCTATTAATCAAAAATCGGCCCCACATCTCACCACAGAAAGATGGTTGTGCATGTGTACAGAATTACAGCCCTACATCATTCCTGTGTGCCCCTGCGGAATTAGAAAGGCAGACTCTCCCCATTTCGTACTAATTAATCCCTTATGAACTTCAGAGGCATCGACATTCCTGGGATTCTCTAGTACCCGAAGTTAGGCACCGTAACGGTCTCTCCTTGAAAACAGTAATTAGAACTATCCAGCGGGGGTGGAGTTGTTGTATCTTGTTAAGTAAAACAGAGGAGCCACTCCCTCGCGCCGATTCCCCAGTGCGAAGAGCGAGTATTTCCTCCTATCTTCTATTTGCTCGCGAGAAGGTGCCCTATAATGCAATGGCGTCTCCCCCTCGGGAAATAATGCAGGGGCGAAGGGCCAATTCAGAGACCTGCGGTCACGATCCAAAACTGCTACACGCTATTCTTATTTTTTTAAATAGATGTCAAGGCAACTTTGCCTCCTCGTCCAAGACCATGCTTTTAACCTTCCACGTGGCGCAGCCGACGCCCACCAAACCTACGGGCAGCCTACAAACCCCAGCGAGCAATCTACTGCGGAAA